TTTATTGCCTGTGTCACAGCATGCATCCAGATCTTTCACTTTCTCTGTTGAATATCCATATTTTCTCATTGGTCTTGTAATTATTATTATCGCCATTTATATAGCGCCAACAGATTCCGTAGCGCTTTACAGTATTATTCGAGGGGCGATTTAACTATAAATAGGACAATTACAAGAACACTTACAGGAACGATAAGAGGACCCTGCTCAAACGAGCTTACAGTCTATAGGATAGATATTATATAACTGCTACCTTGGACTGGCTGATCTATCTCAGATAAATATTGCTGCTCCCATCCTTGTTCAATCCATTTTGGAACATGGCACTTTTTACTTTTCTATCATTTCTAACTTAAGTTCTGCCATTTCAAAATTTCTTGAAAAGCAAACCATTTCTCTTTCCACCCCCTTGATACATTGCCAGTCATTCACAGTCACTAGCTCCTTCTGTCCTTCATTCTCACATGCAGGCAACCAGGTGACAGCCAAAGGTCAATGACACCTGGGTGTAGGACTTTTCATATAGTGCCGTATATGTATGCAACTAAAGTGCTGTTTCCTTTCTACATCTGCTCCATATATGTCCCACTTATTTTCCAATAAAGTGAAACATAGGAAACATGGTCCTCAAAAAATATTTTGCAATGCCAACAATCTAAATCAGTCTAAAGGCACAAGTACAGTGGGACCTTGGTTTACAAACGCCTCGGTTAAAATAATTTTCGGTTTACAAATGAAAATCCATTGAAAATAATGCCTCGGTTTACAAAATAATTTCGCAATACAAAGCATTTCCCCAGGATGCATTGCATCTGGGAGGTTTATAGCATCGCCCCCTGCATGCTGAAGCCTGTGGGTAGCACGTGGTGTCGAGTGTGGAGGTGTCGGAGCGGCTTTTTCATCGAGTTTTGGAGCCATTCTAGAAATTGTTTGCAGTTGTTTTGGGACTTTTTGGTGCATTTCTCAAGCTGTGGAAAGGTAGGGAGCTGAGCTTTGTCGTTTGCATGCCTTTTATTGTGTGTTCTGCATTGTGGGTTGGTTTCCATGCCAGCTCATTCTAACTTTTTTCTGACCTCCAGAACGGATTAATTGGCTTTCAATGTATTCCTACATTCGGGAATATTCGGAACATTCGGTTTACAAATGTTTCGCAATGAGAAACGTCCCGGAGAACGCATTAAATTTGTAAACCGAGGTCCCACTGTACTTACAAATGTGGGTATACAACTGCAGAGGCGTAACTAGAATCCACCGGGCCCCTGTGCCAAAATTGCCCTGCCCCCGTCCCTCATTCTAGTCCCAGCCCCTTCCTGATCTTATTCCCTCCCTGACCCCTCCATGTGTTTTATTTCCTCCCTCTAGCCCCTCCATGTGTGTCACTCCTCCCTCCCCAGCACCTCCATGTGTCACCACAGTAGCCAGTCTGACAGGAAGTGCTCTGTCAGTGAGCACTTCCTGTCAGACCGCGGTCAGCTCCGCCACACTACAAGCAGTGACTGGGAGGAGAGGAGCGCTGTGTTATGCGCTCACTTCTTGCTGATCACCCAGAGACTGTGCATCTCGGACCAGGAATGGTAAGAGGGACAGTGTGGGTTTAAGTTACAGCGACACAAACTCCCTCTCCATCTTTACTCTAAGTTAGAGGATTTCTCTAGATTTGCCTATGAACATCCTACCTGTTTTTGCATAATTGTATCAATGTTTATGGACAATTATATATAGTGGAATACCCGCTATTTTAGGGAAGCATATTAAAGGAAATCCATTACTACTTTGGTGTTTGTTCAACCTAATAATTAACAGAAAGTTTGGTATAGAATGTGCTATTTTTATACTTTAATACAAACAAGAATTTTTACGTGCATCATATGTAAGTCTGCCAAGGCACTAACTGTCATATCATAGTGGCCACTGCGATCCTTTGGCATAATAGAACATGCCTAAGCTCATGTGTAATCAATTAATCACAGCAAGATTACATACTTACCTCCATTGCACTTTTCAGCCCAGTAAATGCTTTAATAGTGTTTATGGGAGAGGGGAAGAGGAACATTGAAAGCTCCCCCTTAATTACCGAAATATTTTTTTACACAACACACTATCACGCCTTCCATTGCCTGTCCCAGAATTATCACACTTTCTTTCTCTGTAAAGCCACACATTTTAAATAAGTACCATATATATTTAAATTTGTATTGTACGCAATCTATTATTATATAATTATACTACACTTCCCCAAATGTAGATTTGTTGGATCAGGGTCCTCATCACCTCTTCTTCCTGCGTGCCTTAATAATTATTTTTTTATTATTGTGGAAATGCCTGTGACTCTCTTTGCAGTCACATGTAATCATCCAAATTATAAAACGAGTTTTGTATTCATTTGATTTGATAAACTGCAGCCTGTTCACATTTACCCTTTGAATCTAACTCCATGTTCAAAATGAACAACATTTTAAACTGTACCTGTAGTCACGTTTATACTTTGTATAGTTGTCCCAGCAGTTAAGTTCAATGGATACGTTAACCCGTTTATGAAGTTCTTGATAGTGTCTTGTAAAGTGGGGTCCTGGAAACTGACTTCAATATCGACTGTATATTCTGCATCCAGAGCTGAAAGATAACATGGAAAATGTTTCATTATAATATCAGCTGGCATTTTTTTTTTTATACAATGATAGTTTTCTGTACTACGTTTAAATGAATTTGGCCACCTAAATGATTATCTAGGTGATAAAAACATAAACATTTATTAAAGAGAGAGACCAAAAATAGCTAAAACACTCATTTCTCTTGATCCATACATTAACTTAGGATGTGTCACTCAATAGCATTATTTCCCCATAATACATAATTTACCATTACATTTTTAATAATTTTAATATTTGTCAGCTTGCCTGACAATCGTTCATTAAATCATACCAAAAAAAAAAACTACAAAAAAACATTGTAATTTCTTACCAGTAGATGGCAGCACATGCATCCTTCTTGTGTTTATTGTATATATTGGTGATAGTTTTGTTTTAATTTGTCTATATGTAACAAAGCAGGAATATCTATCGATCTATCTCGTGCAATTCACACAAAGGAATACAATGTTAAAACTTTATTTTAATGTAGTAATACAGTTTCATCACACTGCACACAGTACTAATATAGTTCCTTCACACTGAATGGAGCTCTGTTGGTGTGTTAGGGAGTTTTGACTTATTGGACACACTTAATCATTGTTCTGACTACCACAGATAACAAATTTCACATGGGTTCTTTATCTGATCTGAAATGCATATATTTTGTGATATGAATACATGATTTTTTGTTCAATTCTGGAGTGATGAAAGGCAACAAACCTTATTACAATATATGAACTGAGTGACAGAAGATGATCTTTAAGAGACATGTCATCATACAATATTACAAATAATAGGTGTTGTTAGGGGAGGAATTGGGGGGGGGGAGAGGGGGGCTGAATCCCTAGCAGTGGTGCTCATTAGCACCAGATTGTTACAGTCTGTGGATTGGACAGACAGATATTAGCGTTGTGTTTTTTTGTATTTTTTTTTATTTAACATCAATGCAGCCACCTATTATAAAAATAATGATCAGTAGTATAGCCCTCTGCCAGGCTACCTAAGGGAGGGGGTAGTGCCCCTCAGGTGACTGTCAGAAGGGGGTGCTAAAAAAGAAACCTTTGCTGCACAACCCTTCTATTACATATGTAGCCTGGGAATATCACATTAATATCTGGCTGTAAAAATTTTTCTTTTTTCCAGTCATGTTTTCATTGAGATCCTCGAAGGTATCAGCAGCTGTGTTCATGGGTGGAGAGGACAGAAAGGTGGGGATATTTCATGACATATCTCTGTCTCCACCTCTCTGTTAGTGTAGGGGTCATTGAGTTTTCCCTTGGATTGAGGCCCCCCTTTATTTCTGTAACCTAGAAACCCCCATGTTTGGATGACATTTTTTTGTGAACCTACCAAAATAAAAAATTGAAGTTTTCACGATATAGTCAGATTTCTACAGTGCGTCTTCATTTTAAAAAGTGGGTTAATAATATATTATACATTCCTACCATTAGTGGATAAGTACTCCTAACAATAATGGTAGGAGTTCTTGAGTAAGGAACAAGATGAACTGTGAACATCTGTAATGTATATTTGCCCCAAATGAGAGGGCAGAGAACGTATTTAATAAACTACAAACATAAGAAGACGGCATTGTTAAAGTGAAATAATGCTGTATATTGTGCTTTACCCATAACATTATTTGGAGACACATTTTGAAACATTGTGCAGGAACAGAATTGATTTTTTTTCCTCAATGTCACAATGAAGAGATTTCTCATTTGCTCCAGCTGGTCAAGGCCTTCACATGTGATGGTTCACAGATGGGGCCCAGTACTTGCATCTAAAATGCACTCACTACTTGGCAGTGCTTTGGAAACTGTGTTGCAGATTCGAATTAATCTGCATCATGCAGTGTCTCTGTTAAGGGTTAAATGGTTTACCTGCATGAGAGTAACTTGTTGCTGCATAGGAACAATGCTTATCTGTTATCGGGTAGTTTGGTGTTTCATCTCTGGCTATTTATGTTTCAGGATTAGAAGGGAGAGGTGGTACCAGCTCTGCAATATGTTACTTACATGGGAGGATTGAGAGAAACATTGACAAAGCAGATATGGGCAGTGTAAGACCAGGGGAGGGTGAATGAGGTTAGGAATGATTTCGGAAGACAACACGATCACTAATGGAGTCTAAATTATAACGCACAAAAGCTACGCATCATACATTAAGGCAAAAAGGAGGAGGAAAAAGGGAACTGTTTTACAATAAAATCTATGCTGAAGTCTGAAATTTATAATAGTTGAACAAATGGAATACCACACTCACTGAAAAGTCTAAGACATACATGAAAATATACAATAAACAAGCTGGGAGGAATGACTACAGAATCCAGCTGTGGGGAAGGTCTACAGCAGGCTTCCCCAAACACCGGCCCTCCAGATGTTGCTGAACTACAACTCCCATGATTCTATCAATGAAATAGAAATAGGGTGAGAATCATGGGAGTTGTAGTTCAGCAACATCTGGAGGGCCGGAGTTTGGGGAAGCCTGGTCTACAGAATGAAGTGATCTATAATTTACCCATAATGCTTGTGCAGGTATGTGGAAGGGTTACAGAATGAACCCATAATGCTGTCTCACAACTGAGAGGAAAGACTGCAGAAATGACCCATAATGCATATCTGCCTCCAAGAACATCCTAGAGAAATAGAGCATAATATATATATGATTGAAGTACGGAAATTAAAAAATAATGCTTATCTCAGTTTATATTGTATAACAGATGTGTTTCCGATTATTTGACCCCTGGTTGGAACATGAAGTAATAATAATAAATAACATTAATTTTCTGGAGATCTCTTATCTAGCATTTACCAGAAGTGAAAATGTATCAATGATAGAATTCTTTCCCCATATATAACACTTTAATGCAGAGACGTAGCAAACCCTAAACTATTTCAAATATGTAACATCCTCCTGAAATGTATTGCACCAAATAAACAAAGAACGGCACTATGCAGGGATATTATCAATGGCATCTGCAAAGGGGAATAAATCCCCTGAAATACAATACCAATAGACCTGTCATTTGCCAGTAACCAACTCGTGAGCATAAAAAAATAAATAAATAAATATTTGTTAGGTAATGTTTGGTGTGCTCTTAAAGTGACACTCTGAACACAGCACATCAGGTGCAGTGGGTAGGTGAGTTTATGTGTTTTGCTTTGTAAGCCAGTTTTCTCCTCCCCCCAATCCTGCAGTGTTTTTCCAGTAGTACTGTTAATGACCTCTACAACAGAAAGCTGACAGCAGAACAGCAAATCTGAGATGCTATCAATGTGCCCATAAGACACTGATTGTGAGATAAGCTCAGCAGGAACAATCCCCACTCTTAAAGCAGTTTAGCTTACTGAAGTGTTTTATGTGTGAAGAGTGTGCTCTTTTCTTTTTTTTTTTTTGCATTAAACGTGCAGATTTCAGTAGAAATTGGCACTTTTGTAAATGATCCTCCCTCCCCCTTGGCTTTTAATCAGGCAGCATGTCCTGTTACTTCCTGGTTTTAGTTCTCCTTAAGCTGCATTGATAAGCATATGATTGAATAGCCACAGAACACATGGGATGAGGAACAAGGGGAGGGCTTGCAAAGGCTTTAACCCCTTAGTGACAAGACCACTTTTAAATTTTTTTACTGTTTTTTACATTTTGTCCTGAGTTTAGAAATACCCAATGTTAACATGTTCTTAGCTTTTTTTTTTTTAAGTTATAAGGCAATAAGTACAAGTAGCACTTTGTTATTTTCAGAATTTTTTTTTTTTCAAAATTAACGCGTTACATTGTAACACTGATATCTGTCTGTAATCTCTGATTAACCCTTCGCATATATTTTTTTAAAGAAGACAACCTAAGGTATTAAATTTGGGGTATTTTGACTCTTTTCATGCAACAATTTTACCTCCAATCTATGCCAAATTTAAAAAAAAACATAGACACACATAGCAATTTAAGAATACATGTACGGAAATCTTTAAGGTTACTGCCAAAGAACACTCCAATATGTGTTCGGCAACATCTCCTGAGTAAATTGATACCCCCCATGTATAGGTGTGTTGGGTTCTTTGGGGGCTAAAATACCTTATTTGGAGGGTGCGCATTCCAGTTTTCCAACTTGGAATTTTCTCAGCTGGTCATCATACACCTATGTCCGATTTGGGACATTTTTTAAGCCGGCCTATGTAAGTTACCCCCATCAAACCATATATTTTTGAAAAGTAGACACCCTAGGGTATTTCAAATGGTGGTATGTTAACACTTTCCATGCACGAATTCTACCACCAGTCTTTGTCAAACCTTTGGATAGTCGTTTTTTTGGATTATTTTTCTTTCACATTGTACTTTAGGCATGGATTCTCAGTACCTATTATGTGTTGCTGACAAAGAACACTCCAATATGTTTTCAGCAACATCTCCCAAGTACAACAGTGCTCCCAATGTACAGGTTTTATGGGTTTTTGCAAATTTACAGGGGTCAAATGTAGGGCTTTCCCTTTTTCCATGTTTGCACATTGAAATTTGCCAGATTGGTTTTCTTGGCCTATATTGCCTGTGAGACTATATAGCAGCCCAGGAATGAAAATTAACCCCATCATGGCATACCATTTGTAAAAGTAGACAACCCACGGTATTCAAAATGGGGTATGTCCAGTCTTTTTAGTAGCCACTTAGCTTTTTTATTAGTTTTTATTAAAAAAAAAAGTTTTTGCAATTTATATTATATATAATACATGTGTGTGTGTGTATATATATATATATGTTGGAAGGCCATTTGGCCTGAATTTGTGGGAGGAGTTATGATCCTATATAAACCCTACCCCCCTACTTACCTTTGTTGTGCAAGCTGTTTGTCTTCACTATAGCAACCAGCACTTCTGGTCCGTTGTTCCCGCCAAAGTCAGTCTCCAGCAAACAGTCCGTCGCCAGCAGCTCCTGCCTCCGTCTTCCGTGCCCGTCCACCGGCTTCTACCTGACTTCCCTACTCGCTACCTGGCTTCCGGTCACGAGACCGGCACGTCCATGTAAGCATAACGTGGGAAATAGCGTTCGGCTATTTCCCACGTTTCGGCACACCTCAACCAACTTTGCTTCTCCTTCTACATTCCATTATGTATTAGATAAATTCCGAGCACAAGTTGGAAGGCCATTTGGCCTGAATTTGTGGGAGGAGTTATGATCCTATATAAACTCTACCCCCCTACTTACCTTTGTTGTGCAACCTGTTGTCCCCACCCACCTACACCCATCCATATTAACAATTCACCTTTGTGGGCCCTCTTCTACACGCCTACTTGTACGTTGGTTTCGGCACACCTCAACCAACTTTGCTTCTCCTTCTACATTCCATTACGTATTAGATAAATTCCGAGCACAAATATATATATATATATATATATATAAAAATCGAAATGTCCCCTGCACTCACGCTTGCAACATGGTCCAATACCGGGCGCACCACCAGAGCTCCAAAGTATGTAGAAGACAACAAGTAGAAAGGCTGCTCTCCGGATTTAAAACAAAAAATTTATTTAAACATATTTAAAAACCACGACCAACGTTTCGGTCCCCGCTCGGGACCTTCCTCAGGGTCAGGGTCTGTTGTTTTATTTTTTGACCCTGAGGAAGGTCCCGAGCGGGGACCGAAACGTTGGTCGTGGTTTTTAAATATGTTTAAATAAATTTTTTGTTTTAAATCCGGAGAGCAGCCTTTCTACTTGTTGTCTTCTATATATATATATATATATATACACACACACACACACTTATATATATATATATACACACACACGCTTAATTTCCATATATGTATAATATATTATAATTAAAGCATTTTATAATATATTATACATATATAATGCATATATGTGATTTCATTATAAGTGTTTTTTGAGATATATGTGTGACTGTAAGCTCGTTTGAGCAGGGTCCTATTCAACCTATTGTTCCTGTAAGTTTTCTTGTAATTGTCCTATTTACAGTTAAATTCCGCCTCTCCTTATATTGTAAAGCGCCACGGAATCTGTTGGTGCTATATAAATGACGATAATAATAATAATATATATCTCAAAGTACACTTATAATGAAATAATATATATGCATTATATATGTATAACATGTTATAAAATGCTTTAATTATTTTATAATATATAATATACATATAACATTTTTATTTTTGTTTTACTTTTTTGACAGCTCAGACGGTCCCCCTGACAGTCCTAGAGTCCTATAGTGGTGATGTGATCATTGTGATAACATGGCCCTGAAGAGCCGGGGTGGCCGGAGCTGCTGCTTTGATGGACCTTTGTCTTATTTTGGGGCATTATAGTAGTTTGGTTGTTCAAATGACCACACAAAGGCCTTCCATTCGTGAAAGTAGACACTCCAGGGTATCTCATATGGCATATATTGTGCCATACAATGTTGTCATTTTTTTTTACTGTTATATGTTACTTTCTCGTAAAAAAATCTTTTTCACAGTTTTTACTTAAGCATTACATTTGTGCTGGGCATATTGTATATTTTAACTGTTCCACCATGATCAAACACCCCAAATTATACTCAGTTAACTCTTCTGAGTAAAATAATACCCCCAGTGTATGCTTTTGACACTATTTCGTGCCGCTACAGTGCCAAATAGCACACCTGACCATTTCAGGTTTTTAATAGTAGAATTTTGAGAAATGGATCCATTTGGGGCATTAACCCCTTAAGGACACATGACGGAAATATTCATTCATAATTCCTTTTTATTCCAGAATTTGTGTCCTTAAGGGGTTATAGTAGTTTGACTATTTCAATAACCCCACAAAGGCCTTCCACTCGTGAAAGTAGACACTCCAGGGTATCTCATATGACATATATTGTGCCTTAACATTTCATTTTTTTACAGTTAGATGTCAAAGTTTGTGGTAAAAAAATATTTTTAAAATTGTTTACTTAAGCATTACATTTGTGCTGGGCATATTGTATATTTGATATGTTCCACCATGATCAAATACCACAAATTATGCTCAGCTAACTACTCTGAGTCAAACAATACCCCCAATGTATGCTTTTGACACTAATTTTTTGAAGTTACAGTGCCATATAGGAGACCTGACTATTTCAATTTTTACAGTAGAATTTTGAGAGATTAATTTGATAGGTTTATGTCTCATTTTGGGGTCTAATAGCAGGTTGCTTATTCAAACTTGAATACGTTTTAGTCATTTTTTCTATTTTAGTCTTAATTTTGCAATTACATTTTCAGTTTACTACAATTTGCTGTTTCGTGTTATTTTTGCAGTTTTGGCATTCTTATTTTGAACGCGGTGCTTGTTACATAACTGTTTCCTAATGTCATCTCCTTAAAAAAAAAAATGGTAGTATGATGAAGTAAAATAATAATTACCGGGGGACAGCTACCTATAAAAACTCATACACGGTCACAGCTTGGTTATTATAACGTGATGCTGCAATTTCATTTTCAACATAATTC